TTCCTGCCGAGGCTCTCCCACAGCTCCATCCTGGTACGTATGGACAACACTGCACCAGTTTTCTACCTCAACAAGCAGGGTGGGGCGCATTCGCCACCCCTATGCAAGGAGGCCCTGCGTATATGGCACCTGTGTGTCAAGCACAATATCACGCCTCAGGTGGAGTACCTCCCCGGGTGCAAAAACCTACTTGCAGACACACTGAGCAGATCCTTTGGAGCCCACGAGTGGTCGCTCAAGGACTCTGTCCTCAGCCAAGTTTTCCGCTGGTGGGGCTATCCCCACCTAGACCTGTTTGCCTCGGCACGCAATGCGAAATGCAGGAACTACTGTTCCCTGCTGGGGCTGGGGGAATATTCCCTGGGGGATGCCCTGACGACCGTGTGGCCAAAGGGCATTCTCTATGCTTTTCCCCCATTTCCACTAATTTCCAGGGTTTTGACCAGAGCGAGAACTTTCAGGTCCTCGATCATCCTCATAGCCCCCAGGTGGCCCAGGCAGTTCTGGTTCCCCATCCTGGTGGACATGCTGACCCAAGACCCTATAGCACTCCTTCCAGTTCGGGATCTGCTAACCCAACCTTGGGATGGGGGAGTAATGGTTCACACGGATCTCCGGTCTCTTCACCTAACGGCCTGGTTTATCCGTGGTTGAACCAACCAGAAAGGGAATGTTCCCGACAGGTACAGATGGTGCTCCTTAGCAGCAGGAAGCCCTCTACTAGACGGTCGTATGCTGCCAAGTGGCGGCGCTTCTCGTCTTGGGCGTCCCAGAGAGGAGTACAACCGTCCTCGGCCCCTATTCCAACTATTCTCGACTATCTCTTTCAACTCCGTTCTTCTGGCCTGTCCTTTTCTTCTATTAAAGTCCATGTGGCAGCTCTCCCCCCCTTCCATGTTGGTACGGCAGGAGCCTCTCTTTTTTTCTAACCAGGTGGTTAAAAGGTTTCTTACTGGAGAAATTGTACCCCTTGGTGAAGGCTCCATACCCTGAATGGAACCTCAACCTGGTTCTTCACAGGCTTATGTCCCCTCCTTTCGAGCCTTTGGCTACCTGCTCACTGAAGCACCTTTCATTGAAGGTTGCTTTCATAGTAGCCATTACGTCTGCTAGAAGGATATCAGAGTTAAGGGCGCTGACTATAGAGCCGCCCTACCTTGTTTTTTCACGTGATAATGTAAGGCTACGGCCTCATCCAACCATCCTTCCGAAGGTGGTGTCTCCTTTTCACCTATCTCAGGAGATTTATCTACCGATGTTCTTCCCTAAACCTCACGCATCCCCTAAGGAGCGTGTTCTACACTCCCTGGATGCCAAGCGAGCGCTTGCTTTTTATATTGACCGAACCAAATCCTTCCGTAAATCCCAACAATTGTTTGTTGCATTTGGGGATAAGGGGAAAGGTTCACCTATTTCCACGCAAAGGTTATCAAGATGGGTGGTGCAATGTATAGCAGAGTGTTATCAACTGGCTGGTAAAACCCCACCCAGGGTGAAGGCACACTCTACCAGGGCGCAGGCATCCTCGGTAGCCTTTGGTGCCCAAGTACCTATCACAGAAATTTGCAGGGCAGCCACCTGGTCTTCCCTCCACACGTTTGCAACACATTATGCGCTACCTCAACAGGCCAGGGAGGATGCAAGGGTGGGCTCTGCAGTCCTCGAATCTGTGATGTAAATATATAGATCTGGTTGTCTTGTTCTGGGTTGGTGAATTGTCACTGTTTAATTGTTCAAATAAATCTGTTTATTGTTCACCTTCCTTTTTGACTCTGGTGCTAAGACTGTTCCGACCCCTCCTCCTTGGGGTTAGCTTGGTAGTCACCTACTTCTGAGGAACAGGCCCAGCCACTCGAAGAAGAAAAGAACGGTTACTTACCTGTAACTGTTGTTCTTTGAGATGTGTTGCTCATGTCCATTTGATTCCCACCCTACCTCCCCTTCGTCGGAGTATCTGGCAAGAAAGAACTGAGGTGGGGCAGCACCGGCAGGGGTACTTATGCCCTGCCATGGTGGCACCACTCCAGGGGGCGCCCCACCGGCGCTACGGGTACCGCTAGGGAAAACGCTCCAGAAGACGTGGTGCACGCGGCGCGCACACCTACTTCGAATGGACATGAGCAACACATCTCGAAGAACAACAGTTACAGGTAAGTAACCGTTCTTTTACCTGATAATAAAATGGAATAAGAGTCTAAAGGCATATGAAGAGTATGTTAAATTTGTGGAAAAACTATTTCTTCACAGAGTGTATACCAAAAATTTGCAAAGTGTCAGAATGAGTTTGATGATATGAAGTTGAAAGTGCAGGATTCAAGCACAGATATTGCCAGATTGAAGAGCACTTTGAATTCTATGGTAAGAATGAGTATGTAGGTGAGAAAATTAGAAAAAACTACATAGGTAACAAAAGCTGAGTTGTAGTTTTAATTCTTTTGCATTAGGCAAGCAAGGAAGAAGAGTACTTTACTGGTTATTGTTGTTTGTTCGGGTTTTTTTTTTAAGCCCATAAAATGGGGTACTGGATGATGCAGGAACTGGGTGTCTTGCATCTCCAGGTCATTAATTTAATACCAGACTGGATCAGTAGTGACTGAAATGTAGCATCTAATTCAGGGCTACTCAACTTTGGAAGCTCCAGGGGCCATAATGATACAGCACATGCTGAGGGCCTCAACTTAAGTGTAGTTGCATCTATAAGCAAATATATGCAAATAGCTTCTTTCACACCAACGGGCATGAATACATAGATAAGGCAAGACTACACAACATGCTGGCCCTATTTAAGTCAGTTCTGCTATTAGTAAAATGCAATATTTACCTGATTTCTACCCATATAACAGCACTTTTAATGAACAATGCTAGTCTAGGAATTTAACTACTAAAACGCATATCAACAGAAGACCATTATATTGACTACTTTTTTTGTTTTGGATCCCACCTGCGGGCCGTGTGTATCCAAACTGCACCACGGGCCGCAAACAAATGGGCCGTGGGCTGCATGCGGCCCGTGGGCCACATGTTGAGTAGCCCTGATCTAATCAATATCCAGGGACTTTGAGTTCAGTCACAAATCTCCTGTTTGCTCCCATGGTATTCTTTGGCTCTATTGGTTTGGGGAGTGACTGTACACAACACAATGGGAACACAATTCCCATTAATAATAATGCTGACACTATTCCATGAAATGGTTGTAATTCACCAGATTTTTTTCAATATGAACCACTCCAAGTATATTTCAATAATCTCTCTCTTTATAAATATAAAAACATTTCCTGGGGGACAGAGTGATGTCATCTGTGTCCACATGCCACCACCATCACCTGCCTCCATCCTCAGCCGCTTGCTGTGGCCAGTCTCAGTGCCATTCCCTGCTGGGCATAGGCTGCTCTGGCTCCTGCTTTAATCCCCAGGGGGTTGCACTGCTGGGGAGGAGCTGCTGGGGATGGGTTCCCTCCACTATCTGTGCCCTCAGGCTGTGCAGGGTCCCCTCCATCATCTGAGCCCACCCCCCACTCCTTTGGGCCACAGCTGGTCCCCTCTACCATCTGAGACCCCCACCCTCCGGATTGCCCCACATCCCCTCCACCATCCAAGCCTGACTCCCTCCTCAGACCTCTCACTCATTCCACTGAGACCTTGCACTCCCAGGTTGCTCCTTCTCCCTCCCCCCGTTAGGGGGTGGCAAGCATAGAGAGCAGGGGGTGCAGCCCCCTACTGTCTATAAATGTTGGAACTTGTAACTTGGTATTTCTAGGATTTAGTGCACAGAGTTGAAAATCACTTATCTGCAGAACTATGACATTATTCCAATCATTTATGTGTCTGTTCAGGAATTTTTAATTTTAAAATATGAATGAGGCATATCGTTATACTGAAGAAATTCATTTTTATCATTTAACTTAAAAATGTGGTTATAGATAAGCCCATGTAAAAAGATACAAAACATTCTGACTCTTGAGAAACCTTTTATTGGATGTCCTGGCTAAAAGGGCAGACACTTTTTTTTCTTCCCTATAGATATTATGCTTCCTGTTTATTTGATATTACTCAGTACAGAAATCAGGGTTTTTTTTAATCAAATTCTGTATTTTAGGAGAGAGAGAACCGTGAACTTTCAGAGAGCTACCGCAAGGCCAATGAACAGGCAGAAAACTGGGAAACAAAATTTCACCAAGCAGAAGGAGATTGCAGCTCTGTCAGACTGATGCTCCTCAATACTGAGTCTGAGAGCCGTAGGCTGAAAGAAAGAATGGAGTCCCTTGAAACAGAGATTGAGCAAGTAAGCTGGCATAGTATCTTCATAGATGACCCTGATCCAAACAGTGCCTGGCAATATCTTAACTCTACAGTTGTTTAAATATTTCTTGTAATACCGTCTTCTACTGTATATTGCACAGAAGGAGGGGACAGAAGACAAATTTGTATGAGGAATCCTAGAACATGTTGTCACATAGGTTGGAATTCTGTTAATCACTGATTTAGGAGGCTCTTGATAGAATTTACACTTCTAAATGCCTAATTCCCATTTGAAAATGAAATTTAAACTCCTGAATCAGTTAGGCGTTACAATACTGAGCATAGCAACAAATACCTTTAACCTGGGACCAGATGTTTGGGGGATTCAGTAAAACTGGGACAAAACCCCAGTTCTATTAAAACTAACTCCTGTTCAATTAGAACTGTGGGTTGTAACCTACCCTTTAAATCAGCTTCCGTCCTAAAGACTGGAAGATAACTAATGTGATGCCAATATTTAAAAAGGGCTCTAGAGGTGATCCTGGCAATTACAAATGGGTAAGTCTAACGTCAGTACTGGGCAAGTTTGTTGAAATAGTAGTAAAGAATAAAATTGTCAGATACATACATGAACATAATTTATTGGGGAAAAGTCAACATGGTTTCTGTAAAGAGAGATTGTGCCTTACTAATCGACTAGAATATTTTGAGGGGGTCAGTAAACATGTGGACAAGAGGGATCCAGTGGATATAACATACTTAGATTTCTAGAAAACCTTTGATAAGGTCCCTCACCAAAGGCACTAAGTAAAGTAAGTTGTCATGGTACAAAAGGGAAGGTCCTCTCATGGACTGATAACTGGTTAAAAGACAGGAAACAAAGGATAGGAATAAATGGTAAGTTTTCAGAGAGGAGCGAAGTAACTAGTGGGATCCCCCAAGGATCTGTCCTGGGACCAATCCTATTCAACTTATTTATAAATGATCTAGAGAAAGGGGTAAAGAATGAGGTAGCAAAATTTGCAGATGATACCAAACTGCTCAAGATAGTTAAGACCAAAGCAGACTGTAAAGAGCTTCAAAAAGATCTCACCAAGCTAAGAGATTGGGAGACAAAATGGCAAATGAAATTAAATGTTGATAAATGTAAAGTAAGGCACATTGGAAAAAAATAATCCCAACTATACATACAATATGATGGGTACTAATGTAGCTACAACTACTCAAGAGAGAAATCTTTGAGTCATTGTGGATAGTTCTTTGAAAACATCCACTCAGTGTGCAGTGGCAGTCAAAAAAGCAAATAGAAGGTTAGGAATCATTTAAAAAGTGATAGAGAGTAAAACAGAGAATATCTTAATGCCTCTATATAAATCCATGGTACTCCCACATCTTGAATATTGCATACAAATGTAGTTACCTCATCTCAAAAAAGATATATTAGCATTGGAAAAGGTTCAGAAAAGGGCAACAAAAAAGACTGGGGATTTGAAATGGGTCCCATATGAAGAGAAATTAAAAAGACTGGGACTTTTCAGCTTAGAAAAGAGGAGACCAAGGGGGGGGATATGATAGAGGTCTATAAAATCATGACTGGCATGGAAAAAGTGAATAAGGAAAAGTTATTTACTTGTTCCCACAATATAAGAACTAAGGGTCACCAAATGAAATTATTAGGCAACAGGTTTAAACCAAACAAAAGAAAGATTTTCTTCACTCAGCACACAGCCAACCTGTGCAATTCCTTGCCAGAGAATGTGGTGAAGACTAGGACTTTAACAGCTCTTTAAAAGAGCTAGATAGATTCATGGAGGTTAGGTCCATCAATGGCTGTTAGCCAGGATGGGTAGGAATGGTGTCTCTAGCCTCTGTTTCTCCAGAGGTGGGTGACAGGGGAGGGATCACGTGAAGATTACCTGTTGTGTTCCCTCCCTCTGGGGCATTTGGTATTAGCCATGAGAGCAGACAGTCAGGATACTGGGCTAGACAGACCTTTGGTCTGACCCAATATAGCCGTTCTTAAGGCCTCAAATTGGAACATACTTGGTAAACCACGATGTGCTCTGCCTAAACAAGGATGTTAATGAGAAGACCTGTGGCTGTGATCTTGTGAATACTTCTTTGCTGTGATTTATTTTTGGTCACTTCCATAGGAACATCTCATTTTACAAGTAACAGCAATGTAAGTATTATTCACAATATCTAAATATTCATTTTTTCTTTTTCAGTCTGTTTTCTGTACATACAAAGTATTTATTTATTGTTCAGATAAGTAGTTCTGCTATGAAACTAAAGATCAAGCTGAAAGCAGAATTCTGAAGATTATCCACTCCACAGCACTGCAAAATCCCAAATGGATTCCAAAGTGTCAGTGACAACTTTATGATCATAAACAAGGTTTTCTGTAGTTATTCAATACAAGACGTGTGAAAAGTTTTATTTTAAAATTTACTCTAAAATCTTTCAGAAGTTCTAAGCTTTACAAAAGAATGCACAAGGATTTTTTTATTTTCCATGGAAGGTTTCTCAAAATCAATATGGATTGTTTTCTGGCAATATCAGGTTTGTGCATAGTATTAAATAGTTTTTAGTACAAGTTGTTACTTAACTTAGACCATTTGGTTTTGGCAGCACTTATCAACAGAAAAAGCCTACAAGTCACAGATTTCTACCATAAACAAGTCTCTCATGAAAATGGAAGAGGAACTTCAGAATGTGCAGCTGGAGAAAGTCTCTGTACTTGCGGATCTCACATCTACACGAGAGCTATGTATTAAATTAGACTCTAGCAAAGAACTACTAAATCGGCAGCTAAACTCTACAGCTCAAGAAGTAGAAAGGGTATGTAAAATAATATAAAATGAAATTTAATTTTTCTTCCAAATATATAAGAATTTTTTTGGTGCCTTGGGTCTAAATTTTCAAAAGGACTGGTGATGACTTGAAATGTATCAAAAGGGCATGGTCTTCAGAGGGCCGATGCACAGTACTTTCTGAAAATCGGGCCCCTTGAGGTGTCTTAAGTTGAACATCTCAGAAATGGAGTAAGCTAAAATTATTAGTCACTTCTGACAATGTGAACCTAAGATTTTAAATCCATATACCTGGTGCATCTTTCTTTGGAGCAGCTGGTTGCTAGCACAGACTTTTCCCAGAATTAATGTTGAGATGCCCAAACTCTGAAGAACCTGGCTGCTTTTCATACTGCTCAAATATTTTCAGTATAATGCTTCCCCTGTCATTCCCTGTCTTTTTTATTTTCCTTTTGTCCCTCCTCCCAACATAACTAGATCATTCCTCTTTTCTGTCCCTGACTTTCAGCATTTTCCTTTATTTTTCCTCTCCTTTATTACAGACCCACTACCTTTAAAGATAATTCTGTGAGGTCTGGTAGTCTCTTTGCTGGGTTGTAGGTCAATTGTTTTAGTCGAATCTTGCATATTCTGCAGCTTTTCATGTCAAAGTAGTTCTGATAGGGGAAGCCACCTTCTTCTTTCATATGGCTGGGATAGGTAGCAATAATTACAAATTTATATCTAAGCTTGATAGCCAGAACATTGCTTCAAGCGTGAACTGATAAATGTTCTTCAGATCTCCTGCAAAAGAATGTAGGGGACACTCAGAGTATGTCTAGACTACGTGTTTCTGTCGCCAGAGCCATGTAGATTAGATTACTAGATGTACCCAAATGAAGCGTCGATTTAAATAATCGCTGCTTCATTTAAATTTAAGTGGCTGCCGCCCTGAGCCAATCAGCTGTTTGTCGGCTCAGTGCGTTAGTCTGGACGCTTCGCGGTCGACATCAAAGGCATTTGTTGACAGCCTCGTTATGCCTCATGGGATGAGGTTTACCGGGGCAGTCGACAAATGCCTTTGATGTCGACCGCGGAGCATCTAGACTAGCACGCTGAGCCGACAAACAGCTGATCGACTCAGCGCGGCAGCCATTTAAATTTAAATGAAGCGGCGATTATTTAAATCACCGCTTCATTTGGGTATGTCTAGTAAACTAATCTACATGGCTCTGGTGACAGAGCCATGTAGTCTAGACATACCCTCAGATACAATTTGCAGGGGAAGCCCTATACTGTATAACTGGGTAGTTAGTTATTTTTTGTCAAGGTATAAATTTCTTCCATTTGATGTGAAGGCTGTACCTCAGGAATCTATTTATGAATGTGTGTAGCTTATGATTTGAAGACATTTTAGTATGCCAGGTCTTGCATCCATATGTGAGCACACTCTTCACATTTGTGTTGAAGATTCGCAGTTTCGTCTTTGCAGATATTATTTGTGAACTCCATATAGGACGAAGAGTCTTGAATGCAGCTGTTGCTTTCCCTATCCTAGCACTGATATCCTTGTCTGTTCCTCCGTCTCTGCCCATAATACTCCCCAAGTAGATGAACTACTCCACATCTTCCAGGTCATCCCCTCCCAGTGTGATGGTGTTGTGGTTGGACTGGTTGATCTTCATTGTCTTGGCCTTTCCCTTGTTAATGCTCAGTCCAATCATTGAGGCAGTTTTTTCTAGTGTTGCAACCTTTTCTTCCATGCTTTCGTGGACATTGTCAGCAAAATCAATGTCCTCTAGCTATTTGAAAAGTGTCCACTCAATGCCCCGTTGATGGCCATCTGTTGTCCTGCTCATAATCCAGTCCATTGTGATCAAGAACAGGAAAGACTTTGTCACAAATGAGGAGCTTTGGAACAGAGCAGGACAAGAATCACTTGTCATTCAAATCAAGAGTAGAAAGTGGAGATGGCTAAGTCACACTCAGAAAACCATCATCCAGCATAGTCCGTCAAGCTCTCATGTGGAACCCGCAAGGAAAATGCGAAAGAGGAAGACCTCGGACAACCTGGAGAAGATCTGCTGAGATTGAAGGACAACAACTGGGGTACGCCTGGAGTCAGCTAGAAGTTTTGTCTCTAGACAGAGTGAAGTGGAGGAGACTTGTAGATGACCTATGCTCCACTCCGAGAACAAGGGTTTAAGAAGAAAAAAATTTCCTCCGGAGAAAATAATACAAAAAACCCACCATGATGATAATATGTAAATAAAAGATTTCTGGGGTCCTTTCAAAAGCATCTGGCATTCTATATTAGTAGAACCCTATGTTTATACAAAAGTTTGTATCCTGTCCATGATCTACAAAAATGGTCCATGGATATAATGTGGATTTCTACAGATTTGCAGGATTCTATAGATTAAGCCTGCAATCTGCCTATTAACTACCCTCTGTATGAGGGCTGAGTGAGATTACCAGATTTGCTGGATCCTTTCATGAGCTCATCAAATAGGAGGGCTATTAGTGATTGTGGAGAGGAAGGAATGTTGCAGAATCTGTGTCTCGCTTTTCACATCGTTTATGTACATTTTACCCAAAGCTATGTATTCTCTGCCACATAGGTCCCTATTTTCTACAGCATTCCATTACAGAAATTAGCAACAAACTAAAAAGTCTATGGCAGCACGAAGTATATGCAAAATTGGAAATGTTTATGAATTAAAGTGGTCATGAATAATACTGTTATTACAGTATTCTACATATTCTAGTGTGCCTTATACCATGTATTTCATAATTACATTTATGCTGATTCCAAACTTTTAACATTTTCCATGTGCTGCAGATTTTTGTATTGATCTATATAGAACTACACTGTGAAAATTGAGAGGACAGGTAACTGAATTTTTTGACTGTGGGGTAGTAGAAAGCTGGACATCTGAGACCTGGAAAGATGATTTACATTTCAGCAGCCATCCTGCAATTTTAAATTAAAAGTTGAAACAGTACATTAAAGAATGGTTAATAGGCTAAATAGATATTAATGAAAGGCCTGTAAATCTTGTCTTTCAGCTGCAGAGTGAATGGGAGTCTTCTCGTTCTGAAGTAGAACTTCTCAGGAAACAACTAGCTAATGAAAGGATCTCTATGAAAAATCTGGAATCTTTGCTGGTGTCTAACAGAGAGAAAGAATTCCAGTCTCAAATAGCCAAACAAGAAAAGGAATCTGAAATTCAGCTTCTTAAAGAGCAGCTTTTGCTGTCCGAAAATAAACTGTGAGTAAACGACCAAGAGATAAAAGCTACATTATTATATGAACAGAACTAATTTTTGTCTGTCTTCTGATGTACATACATATATTGCTTATTTTCATTTATATTTTTGAGCAGTTAGATCTGAATTTTTTTTTAGATGGAAAAAGTTGAAGATTTACTCCCTGGTTTGGTTTAGCAATTGTACCATACACTATGTTTCCCCTTTAGATTTTTATTTAACTCCTTTTTTGAATTGTTAATTTGACCTGCACTCCAGTACAGCCCTTAATGACTAAATTGTGTATATTGATGTATTTGGAAGGTTATAATAGCCCATTTTTTCTTAAGCACATGCAATTTTATATCCTTTACAGTGCTATTCAGAGTAGAGATTTTGCCCAGCTCAGAAATACAACAACTCAGCTAGAGTCGGAGCTAGATATCACCAAAAGGCAGCTGGGAACAGAGCGCTTTGAAAGGCAAGTGTACGTTTTTATACTACTCTTAATCACCCATGTTATTTTAGATGAAGTGTATAGTACAATTAGACTAATTGAAGGAAGATGGCCAAATATTTAAGGTACTGGGTGATGTGGGTTCAATGCCATTGTGCTGCCACCGTATTAGTTTTATTATTTATAAGCAGTCAAATCAGGGTCCATGTTTATTTTAATTCCAGGGCTATGGCAAAAACATGCAAACAAAATTTTAAAATTGAAAAATGTTAATTGAAAAACTGTTACCCATAATGCTCCTATAGCCAGTTGATCATATTGTAATACTTGAATCCTAATAGATCAATACAACTGCTTTTCAAACAAAACAACCTCTTGACAGTTTTCATATGCTTTCTTTCCACACCATCCACACCTTAACTTTGGAAGTGCTAGCTAATCTGAACAAACCTAGAAAGGGAGGAGAAGAAAGAGAGAAAGTAGAGGAAAAAGGAGCATGGAGAAGAGGAGATCTATAGAAAGAAGAGTAGGAAAGCCAAAAGAAGGAAAGACGTTAAAGGAAATAGGGTATAGAGGGATGGAGAAGGAATACAGGCAGTCCCCGACTTATGCGGATCCGACTTATGTCGGATCCGCAGTTACGAACGGGACTTTTCTCACCCTGGAGGATGCGGGCGGCGGGACCGCTCAGACGTGCCGTGGTCCCACCGCCCGCGTCCTCCGGGGCAAGAAAAGCTGCTCTGCGTCTCCCTGGTCTGCTGGGGGCGGCCCCCAGCAGACCAGGGAGACGCGGAGCAAAGCCGTGGAGGATGCGGGCGGGACCGCGGCGCATCTCGGCCGGGCGGCGCCCCGCGCTC